GCCCACTGGTCGGCCATTTACAAGGCTACTGTTTTTTGCGAAGTTGACCAAAACAAGGCTGCCCCATTAGACATTGCCAAACAAAAATTCTGCGCTGGTGTCTTGTGAGTTGTAGAATGCGGAACACTGCAGACACAATATGAAACAAATATGAATTAATAGTCAGTGGCAAAATAGCTTTATGAAGTAATTATTATTAATTTTGATACAGCTTTGCGCTTCTTAATGCATGTGTCTTATCCTTCTTCTTCGCGTTTGTCGGCTGTAGATCCCAGCGGAAAATTCTGGAAGTTCGTCTAAGTCTAGACTTTAGTCTTGTTCCAGAACTTGAGTTTTGTATTCACATCGTTTTTACAGATCTGATTTATTTGTGTGCAGACTGCTGGTTCTTCGCCTCGCCTCACAGACAGAGGCACTCAGACTTCAAAGGAAGCAACCCTAATTAGTCGATTTTTGCGACGTGCTTTTTGAAGCGGCAGTGAGTTCGAATCTGGACGGAAGCTGATTTTGTAGTTTCGAAAAGAATTTTGAAACCAGCGTGAACAGATTCGCCTTGTTCAGCATTCGCGAGGTTCATATCTGGAGATATAACTATTCATCTCTCTGGGTGGCCTTCTCTTTTCAGTGTTGGTTACACCAAGTGTTTGCAGGTCCGCCTGTATATACTATGTCTCCATCGTCTTCATGGTCTGCCTCCTCGTCGACGACCATTCAATTCCCTTGTGCACATATCTGTTTAAAAACCGCTCTGCCGTCTGTCACCTATAGGCAAAAAGTCTTGTTAACCCGTACTATGAACTGGTTATTTTCATAACAAGTGGGTAATTCCCATTGTTTAAGCAAGATCCAAAAAAGTACAAATTGGGTTACATCATGACAAGGGGAAAGGATAGAAGGCAAAGGAGGCGAAGGGCAGACTAAAGGAGAGTTTAGCATCATTGCATGTTAAGTGAAGGACCTCTTTGACGTCGTTGGCGCTCCTGACATACAGTGCTATATCTGTTATAGGCTAATTGACTTTCAGTGGGTGATGTGGTCAGCATCACGCCGGTCGCCTTTACTTCCAAGGAAATTACCTGATGCCCTTTTATGCTGGGTCATTCGTGAAGCCAAGTTCAGTTGTTTTTTTTTTTGTTTTTTTTTTTATCTAACTCGATTTAGATTCGAATCCATGACCTTCTAACTGAAAGGCGAGCTTCTAGCCCCCACGCTTCTGTCTTCTTCTGTCTGTCTATCCCTCAATGGAGCATAGCTAGGCCCTCGACCAACCCACGTGAGGTCGTTCTATTCTTTGCTATCGCATGCAGCTCTCCCCCACGTCCTCCCCATCTTTTTAACTTTACTCTCTAGCTACCTTTTCCGTGTGTGTGTGTGTGTGTGTGTGTGTTTATCTGCCATTATTTCTATGCCTGTGTGGGTTCCAGTGCAAATACATTCTAGTTATATTGTTCTCTAGTTTTCTCAACATGTGTCCTATCCAACGCCAGCCATGGCAAAAATACCACCCTACCACTAACTGATTGTGGAAACAGATATCAGGTATAAGGTAACAGCAGTTTTAACTTCACAGCAAGCGGGTAACCCCACAGTTGATAAGTTCCTGAGCCCACTGAAACCCACACAAATTGCTCATCGTTGTCCCTTGTTTGATCGATAGATCGGACGATCAGTTTGTCCCCTCCTGGATGCTACCTGGAAATGCTACCATATCATATTGAGACAAGAGAATCTCAGTCTTGACGGCAAACCAACAGCAGATCCCGGATACCCCGTTCTGCCTCCACAGAAGTTTTAAAACCAGCCTAATATGGATAAGGACTACTTTCCGTTGTGAAAATAAAAAAACAACAGGCAGATGGCAGTCTGGGCAAAGCCAATAGCTACATTGCTAATATATAATAGCATAACTGCATAAGGCCGCCGTCAGAAGTGCCAGCACAACCAGTCCTTCGCCAGAACTGCACTTTGAGGTAAACAGAAAATATTGCTTAAAACGTAAAATATCTGTATTGAACAAATCTAAAGTACGTGCAGAATATACCAGTTTCATAACTGACGCCAGCATGCTTTTGTACTTCTGGTTTTTTTTAACTTTGCATTTTTGATAATTAATTTCGCATGCTTTTCTGGGTCCGGGAATTTAGTAGAGGAGCGGTCAGTTGAGAGAAAGGTCTGTGTTGATTAATGATTTTTACAGTTAGTTAGCTAGAAACTTTGAATAAAATCATGTCTGCTTGGCGAAAATTTATAAGTAGCAGCGGCGACAATAGTAGTAGAAGTAGTAGTGGTGATGGTGGTAGTAGTAACTGTTATTGTTTTAGTAGTAGTAGTAGTAGTAGTAGCAGCAGCAGCAGCAGTAGCAGCAGCAGCAACAGCAGCAGCAGTAGCAGTAGTAGTAGTAGTAGTAGTAGTAGTAGTAGTAGTAGTAGTAGTAGTAGTAGTAGTAGTAGTAGCAGCAGTAGCAGTAGTTGCTGTTGCTGTATTCGTTGTAGTAGTAGAAGTGGTGGTGGTGGTGGTGGTGGTAAAAAGTAAGTGGAGTAGGAGAGGTTAGAAAAGGGAAGAAGGGGGAAAGATTAAAAAAAAGAAGAGATGAGAGAAAGGAAGATGGGATGAGACAGCAAGAGAGAGAAAGGAATGAGTGAAATAAGGAAGAGAAATGCAGCGTGAATGTTGACTTTGAGGGAAATTAATATAACCCGAAGTGAAGAGGGTCCGATGGAGAGAAAGAAGCGGAAATTGAAAGACACAGGTCATAGGAAGAGAGTAGGCGTTGAAGAGTATAGACTGTCATACTGTAACAGAGTATGCAAGCAAAGGAAGCGAGGGGGAAAGGGGTAGGATTAACCATCGCAGTAAAATCAAACCTAGTAAACAATCCACGGATACGCAAGCAAATATTAGCAGCACAAAAAACCATGTTTTCAGCATAAAGGCACACGGTACACAATACAGCATCAGCTAGGGAAGCTTTGCCGCAGCAGTGCTGCCAGCCCTTACATCATCTCCATCTACTCTGAAGTGATCACCTCCCGTCGGATGGAAGTGGATGCCACTGTCACACTTGATCGCTTCAAAAAAGAAATGCCAAGTCAACGAGGTGAACCATTTTACCTGATTTCTGGAGCTGGGTAAACTCATGAAAATACAGTCATGAAAACAGACAAAAGCGGGGTTGTGAGAAAATAACTAAATGGTGATATAGCATTCCGAAACATAAAATCTAGTACTTATAATTAGGTAGTTAGTTTGGGGTGTTTAGAAAGTGACGGTAAATGTAATCCTTTAACAGAAGCTGAAGTCTTTCATATTTAACAGGCGGTGTTTTCTGGAGACAAGTCCGTTCTTAGGCATAGTTTTCACTCGGTTCCATCTTATTCTTTCTTTTCTTTTTTTTATTCTCTTCTTTATCGTCACTGTTGACATTGTTTTGTTGTTGTTGTTGTTCCTCTTCTTCTTCTACTTTCTCTTTGTTCTTCTTTTTCCTGTGGACTGTCTACAAGAAAACATTCATTGCTTCTGTCATTCAACCAGCCCAACTTTCTCGAGATGTCTTTTTTTCCCGTTTCCACTTTACGCTAATATAAATTTTCATTGTGGTAGGCTGCTTGGAAGTCGTCTTGATACATGACCAAACCACCTAAACAGCAGCTTGATCGAATCCAGTCGTAATAAGTCCACACTTGCGCCACCTTGTCAGTAGGCTCCAACAGAAGCTTCATGAAAATAAAACTTCTATTTCACTTGAAAACGATAACCACTTTATCACACTTCATGCTGTCAATGGGAACTAATTATGTTTCTACATACAGTCAAAGTGTTGTGGGGAGAAACATCATTATATCTACACAATCCTCTACTTCATCAACTGTCTCATCTACTCAACCCACATGCTCTATCGCTACACCCACACCAATTACCTCTCAGGTAAATAAATTATTCATCAAAACTCATGACTGGGACGCTCCACGAGCGGTTCTTTCCGCTCCCTGTAAATTATGATGATATCAGAAAAAACAATCATTAGTTATCTTACATTTGCTGCACGACTAATAGAAGTAGATAACTTACAAATTTGGCATGGATTTTAGATATGTCATATTTGCCACATTAAAAAAAAAAATAGAAATCTTACATTTGTCACAGAAATTAGTTTTATATTTAATGCACTTAAAAAAGCAAGACATTTCAGATTTACTGCATCAGAGCTCGACATTTATTTTTTACGTTTACTGACTCAAAAAATAATCAGAAACATTACAATTATTGTATCACAAATAGTTACAAATATTAGAAAAGTTTTTTTTTTTTTTTACATCAGTCATAATTAGAAATGTTTCATTTGAATGCCAGCAGGAAGACAATATACAACAGTATTCAGTGCAATCAGAGGCATAAGACTCCAGCCAGATCACTAAAATAAGACGGTGAAAAGAGTTACATTCCAATAACAGAGTGGTTGAAAAAAACAAAATGCTGTTTAATAACCATTTCAAATGACAAAAGATACCAAAGAGTTATGTTCGCAAATGTCGACTCCAGATGAGATATATCAACACTAAAGAACAGGTTTCTTATCAACAGAAAAAGAGAATAATAAAATCAATGGGAAAGCCACAAAGCTCGCACAAGACGATTATCATATTATTGACAGAATAGAGAACGCCTTATTCTACGTCTTGAAACAGGGCAAAGTCGAGTGCAACCACCCTCGCACTCAATTTAAGATTGGCGATCAGTTAAGTGCACATGTGGATTGGCACCTGAGACAACAGATCATGTCCTCCAAGACTGTCCCATAAATACAACATATCAAGGCAAAACTTATGGCCAAGAGAAACAACAATGAAACCCCAACTGTACGGGTCGCTAGGTGAATTGCAAAAGACAGTGAAGTTCATACTAGAGGCAACATTGCAGATAATTTATTTAAAGTCAAGGTAAAGGGAACAAAAGAAGTAGAAAGCTACTAAGATCGGAACATGAATCTAACGATCACTCACCCCTGGTGAAGCACTGGTGCGTGACACAGACACCGAGCTCCTGTTTTTGGCCCTGATTTTCGACAGCGAGCCCTCGGCAGAATCGGCCCTCTCTTCGGCGTCCTCCAGTTCGTTCTGTACCTTGCGGTATTTGGCCAGGTTAATGGCGGCAATTTCCTCCTGAAATTTTTGAAAATGCGATTATTTTTATTTGTGTATTGTCAGTTATCCATAGTCGTTTTTATATATCTGAATTCTCCATATTCATTTTTATATTTCTAAGTTCTCCATGGTTGTTTTTATATATCTGACTTCTCCAGTCATTTTGATATTTCTATGTTATCAACGATCATTTTTATATTTCAAATAGCTCAGCAGTAATTATTATATTTCTAAGCGTTCAGTAGTTATTTCATGTATATGTATATTTTTAAAAGGCTCAATGGTCCATTCTCTACCTCGGAATTCCTCACAGTCATTACTGTATATCTGTATTGGTAAAATACTAATTATATTTTTGTATTCTCACTATCAGTTACTGTGTTTAAGTATTCTTCATAATAATTACTATATTTATATGTTCTCAAAAGTAAGTAGAAGAAGAAGAAAAAGAAGAAAAAGATAAAAAAAAAGAAGAAGAAGAAGAAGAAGAAAAAAAAACAGGAGAAAAAGAAGAAGAAAAAGAAGAAAAAAATAGAAGAAGAAGAAGAAAATGCTCTTTTTTCATAATCAATATTATGTTTATGTTTTATGTACTGGATGTGTGATGTCATCGAAAACGACGCCTAACTTTACTACTTCCTCAAATATTTCCTGCTACCAGTTTTTAGACTGGGCTGTCAGGGAAAGAGAAGCCGAGCTACATCTCTTTCTTCTTCTTCTTCTTCTTCTTCTTCTTCTTCTTCTTCTTCTTCTTCTTCTTCTTCTTCTTCTTCTTCTTCTTCTCTTCTTCTTCTTCTTCTTCTTCGATACTTCTGTTAGAAAAACATATACCAGGAAGGCGGTAACATTTATTAAAGCTATCGAGCAGTCCAAATTTCCCTTGAACCACACAGCTGTGTCTTCATTTAGCTTTGAAACAGGCCAGATTGTGTCTCTGTTGGCAACATACCATTGTCAAAATTGGAGCACAGTGCCAAGTTGCAGATATACGTCTTCGTTTCCTACACCTACACATTCTTACACTCAAGAAGTTAAGTGTGACGCCATGTTTGTGGGGAGGATTTCCCACTGTTGTCTGGCAGTAAAATACAGTGCAACACTTACGGCTTCTTCGACTTGTTTCTTGTAGGTCTTGATCTTGCCAACAAGTTTGTTGATCTCATCCTGTAGACGATCCTGGTTCTTACGATCCTCTTCTGACTGGAAGGTCAACTCCTTGAGACGGCGCTCAGCCTTGCGGGCGTTCTTCTGTGTCTCTGCATGGCGACGCTGTTCATTGTCCAGTTCTGTCTCCAGCTCTCTGACCTGGGAACGCCATACAGTGAGTTTAAATAAGTGTAATGATAACGCAGGTGTATGATATGGGGGAAAACATGGTGAAGTACGTCTGTGCTGCCTATGAAGCTGAGACGAGAGACTGTATAACTAGCTCCTCATGGAAACAGTCATAAGACTTCACTTGGAGTGGCTGCTGCATGAGGGACTGAGCACACTGATGTGCAGTTACGCTGATTGTGATAACATTATGTAACCCCCCAAAAAAGTAAAGGACCTTTTTCAATGCCTTTAGGCCTGTTGCTTATATATGGCTAGACCTCTATTGTATAGACAAATCGGCACTCTGTGAGTGATGTGGTCAACATTGCGCCGGCCGCCTTTACTTCCTAGAAATGTACCTGCTACCCATTAAAGGCTGTGTCGACCTGGTCATTTTTTTTAAACAGTCCGGCTCCATCAGGACCTGAAACCACCACATTGCGATTCGCAGGCGAACGTCTAAGCGCTACATTACCGACAGCTATCAGCGGAATATAGTGCTCATCGTATATTTTATAGACCAATCGGCAATAGATGGCCGATGTCAGTATCATGCCAGTCGCCTTTACTTTAAAGAATAGTTCTGGATACCCATTTTTAGCTAAGTCGACCTTGGAGTCAAGATCCGTTTTGAAACCCCCCAGCCCTCCCCTGGATTTGAACCTGTGACATTCAGCCCAGAAGGAGAGAGTCTAGCTGGTGCGACACTGCAGCTCCCATACTAGTTGCCTGCCGTTGGCTGGGGGTTGAAGAGCTAATCCTAACATTTATTCGGTGTTCTTGTTTTCAGTTGCAATTTTTCATTCATCAGTTTGCAACTACATCTCTCGATACCACTGTCGAAACCAGCGCAAAGCGGTCTGCTACCAGTTCACAGTTACATTTGGTGTTGAATCTCCTTCTTCTTCTTCTGCTGCTTCTTCTTCATCAACATCCTCCTCCGCCTCTTATTCTTCTTTGCATTCACCGGCTGTGAATTCCGAAGACTAGTTATCATTTTTCGTCTATTTCTAGACTTTGGTCTTGTTCTAGAATTGTGTTGTGCATGCAGATCCGTTTAACATATCTGGCTTGTTTGCATGTAGACTGTTGACTCCTTATCATGCACACTGTGGGTCTATTTTTTTTTTTCCCCACACGAAGGGACCCAGGAACCCAGACGGGGACTTTTTCCCAAATGATATCAGTGAACCCTTAAATGTGAACCAGAACCACACAAAAAAAGAATCATGCTCCACGCAAATTTTATCTATGTAAACACTGCATGCAACAAGGACAGATAACTCACTCTCTGTTCAAGTTTCTGGATTGTCTTCTTGCCTCCCTTCAAGGCCTGTGCTTCAGCTTCATCCAAGCGGACTTGCAGGTCCTTCACCTGAGCCTCCAGTGCCTTCCTCAGCTTCTCAACCTGCAGACTGTAGACCAAGCAACCATGTTAAGGACACTCATATCAAATATTGTAGAAACAGGTTCATTCTTATTTTGACTTAAGTTGATTCAGGAACTGACATCACAGCATCACTCGGGGTTTCCGTTACCATCTTCGGCAGTTCCAATACCAATTATACCAGTAGCCGTATGATTATTTGTCCATCTTGCCTTTCCTTTCAGCGTCGAGTATGGTTATTTCAATAAGTAAGTAAAGTAAAGGACCCTTTTCCACGCCTTTAGGGCTAGACCTATATTTTATAGACCAATCGGCACAAGATGGGTGATGTGGTCAGCATCACGCCGGCCGCCTTTACTTTCCGGGACTGCACCCAGTACCCACTCAAGGCTGGGTCGACCTGGGAGCCAAGGTCATTTATGAAAAAAGTCCGGCTCCGCCAGGAAGCGAACCCACGACCTTCCGATCCGCGGTGCGCGTCTAGCCGCTCTGTCACGGCGACTCCCTGGTTATTTCCATGGTGTGCCAATTCTAATTTTCATGCGTTATATTTATTATTTTGAGCCAAACTAAGTAAGCTGCCATTCTTTACTGTACGGGACATTGCAAAACCTGGCCCAACATTGTTTGGCTGTTTGTGGATTTACTAGGCAAGTTTTACGATCTGTAAATTGCCACTGAGGGGCAGCTGGCCGAACGGTTAGAACGCTGGGCTCCCAAGTGGAATTCTGGTTTCGAATCCTCTGTAAGACTAGTAATTTCTTTCTGTCGGGGGACCCCAAAAAAAAAACTTGCATGCACAGTCTGTGGCAAAGGCACTACCCGTGCGGCCTTAAATCCCCTCCTATACCGCAAACGTGGTATAATAAAGGCAATAATTGACAGTTTGGCAGTTTGCCATTACCACTGAACGATCCTTATCAATATCACAGTTAGTACCAAAGTAAGCCAGTCTGCTACTAAACTGTCTGCAGCTGGGATCGAATCCGTTACCTTGGAATTTACATTATGCCAGTAATATTATTTATGGACATCTATATATTCATTACTTTTTAATTCCATACCGCCGTCGCACAGTTCAACAGAGAAACGAAATCCGTTTGTCTGACGCACCATCTTATCTTCGATAAAACAAGTCCATTACAAAACGTCGCTCTCTTCACGGCACGCCTGAAAGTCTCTCTTTCTCTAGCCAAATCTCCAACCTTATGTGCTTTCACAGTCGGTGTATCTTCAATGTCCTGTATTCACCTTCGCAGAGGTCTGTTTCTGCCTCGTTTTCCGGAAACTGCACCCTCCACCACCGTTCTCTCCAGACCACCATGACGCCTGAGACGACCATCTGACAGGGCTAAAACCTGAGGTTGGGCTCATGTTACCACCTTGCTTTCAAACCATGCCATGTCTTATTTTCTTCGTTTCATTTTCCGGGAATCTACAAGCAGATGTCAAATGACCCTTCTCCGCGTCCTCATACGAGGGCATATTCTGCTAGACCTGTATTTTATGGACCAATCGGTACTTGGTGGGTAAGGAGGTTAGCATCACGCCAGTCGCCTTTACTTCCATGACATTACCTGGCACCCATTTAAGGCTGAGTCGACTCCGGTTCCGTCCGGACTCGTGGAATCTGCAAGCGAGCATCTAGCCGCTACACCACGGCAGCATGCACAAACAGGTGTAGGAGAAATAGAACATGTTTGAGTAGATGTAGGAGAAAAGACTACATGTAAACAGTTGTAGGAGAAACAGTACATGTTTGATTAGATGTAGGGCACACAAAAACACTACACGTAAACAGGTGTACAGGTATACATGTGTACAGGATGTCTACCTGTGCTCTTGCTCTTGGCGAAGCTCATCAGCCAGACGAGCAGCGTCAGAGAAAGCCTTCTTGGCTCGTTCCTCGGAAGCGCGGAGTTCGTTGCTGAGCTCATCCAGGTCTGTCTGCATGGCCTGCACGTCACTCTCCAACTTCCTCTTTTGACCTTGGATGGAGGTGTTCTGGGCTGACAGCTCGTTGATGCGGTCGTTGGCTTCACTGACCTCATTCTCCGCTGCCTTACGAGCCCTCTCAGCCTAGCAACAAACAAATAGAATTAACTCTTTCTCTCTCTTGCATGGAACTCACCCCACGCTCATTCATCATCACCATGTGACCTGTCGTATGCAGCCACTTTTCGCCACATTACTCACAAATCCTGAACAAGATTAGTTCTCTAGTCTCACCACATCTATATCGCCAAGCTACCGTGTAATAATCTCACTGCCTTTCCCTTGGTCCTTTTCCACTAATCTTGCCAGTTGTAATCAGGTTTTAGAGTCTCTTCTAGGGTGTATAGTCTCCCCCCCCCCCCCCCCTCTCCCCCAATTCTTCTTTTTTTTTTTCAGCGTCAGGACAGAAATAGATCTCTCTGACGGACCTTCGTTTCGCTTGCTATGTAGTACTTTTCAGTGTTCTAATTGGTTCATGAAATCTCTTGATTTTTCAAGAAGCACTAGATAAAGAACCCTTCGTTTGCTGGCTCAGTCACAGTGTTTTCACACCTCCAGCATACGTGTGCTAGACTATCACAATCAACTAGTGTCACACAAATTGCATTCTAAGATGTCCAAAATTGACTCCGGTTAGATGCTGGCAGAAAAACGGGAAATGATGCCCCAAAAAATTAACACATCAGAAAATGTATTTTAATTTTGCTTGATAATTTTCGGGCCTTGAAAATGGTCAAGCTTAGTTATCTATACATAATATTCTTTATGTAACATCTATCCTCTACTAGATCTGAGGTGCACATTACAAACACACTGGTGACCACAACTACTTACTTGTTCAAGAGCTACTCTGAGTTCCTCAACTTCTGAACCCAGGAGTACGGCACGGCGTTCCGCGGCGTTGTAGGCCTCACGGGCTTCCTCTCTGCTTCGCTGTTCGTCTTCAACTTGCCCTTGCAGCTCCTGTAGAAGCATGGGTGATACTCAGTTACACCTTGTTGTTATTTAGACCCTGTGTTATTTACACCCTGTTGTTATTTACACCCTGTTGTTATTTACACCCTGTTGTTATTTACACCCTGTTGTTATCTAAGTTACACTCTGTTGTTATTTAAGTTACACCCTGTTGTTATCTAAGTTACACCCTGTTGTTATTTAAGTTACACCCGGTTGTTATCTAAGTTACACCCTGTTGTTATCTAAGTTACACCCTGTTGTTATCTAAGTTACACCCTGTTGTTATCTAAGTTACACTCTGTTGTTATCTAAGTTACACCCTGTTGTTATTTAAGTTACACCCGGTTGTTATCTAAGTTACACTCTGTTGTTATCAAAGTTACACCCTGTTGTTATCTAAGTTACACCCTGTTGTTATCTAAGTTACACCCTGTTGTTATTTAAGTTACACCCGGTTGTTATCTAAGTTACACTCTGTTGTTATCAAAGTTACACCCTGTTGTTATCTAAGTTACACCCTGTTGTTATCTAAGTTACACCCTGCTGTTATCTAAGATACACCCTGTTGTTATCTAAGTTACACCCTGCTGTTATCTAAGATACACCCTGTTGTTATCTAAGTTACACCCCGTTGTTATCTAATTTACACCCTGTTGTTATCTAAGATACACTCTGTTGTTATCTATAATTAAGGGTAGTGGTGATAATGACGTTGATGTTGACTAAGGACAATTATGATAAAGATGATAAGGAGGAGGAGGAAGTTGATACTAATACAGATGATATGGATACCCATGATGGTTCAAACGTTGATGATGGCTGTAATTATAAAAATAATAATGACAAAGCTGAAGAAGATGAAAGACGGTTAATACTCATGAGATCTCATGCAGGAGAGCCAGGTTTGAATCTTGTGTAAAGTAATGGGTTTCTTCTGCCACAGGCAAAAATAAGAACCTAGCCTGCACAGTCCGTGGCGACAGCACTGGCCATGCGGTCCTAAATCCTCAGATTGAAGGACCTGCGAAACCTACACAGGGATATGTGATAGATACGGGCATTTTTTTTTTGTGTCCTTCTTCTTCGTTTGTCCTACCGCTCAAGCGTCACAGAGAGGAGTTCAATGTCTCTTCTGTCTTTTGCTAGTTGACTAGCGTGTGTTAAAATCTTACAGCGTTTCTGTAGTGTCCTTGTACTCTTGTATTCCCTCCACCCATCTCTTTATTGGTAGGCCTCTTGTCTTCTAGGCTGCTGTTCTCGTGTGATATGCACGAGCTGCTGGCTGATTGTTCCATTTTGACCATATGACCAAACCATTTGAATCGTTGATGTTTCATGAAATCATTTACCGGTAATTTGCTGATCACTGTTCTCAGTTCTGTACTGGTCACACCTCCCCCCCCCCCCACCCCCACCCCCCATTTCCCCCACCCCTTATCTCACATGATGTAACCCCTCGGGTCGCATTTCTTATAGATCATGTTGGCATCTAACATGAACCTGTAATAGCGGATTTATCATCTGCTTTTATGTGTACCTGCTGACATTTTGATGCCTCAGAAGTGGCGCTAGTGAGTAATTTATGTTGCTGGCCTTCTGTATTCTATTGTCTATGTATCCGTCTTAACAACTATCATCTGTGTATACTCTGCCTAGGTACTTCAACGCCTTGTCTTGTTTTAATGTCTATACTTCTGCAGTAATACTAGAGTAATACAGTAATAATAGAGATACAATAATGACAGGAAGATACAAGACAACGAATATAAGGATAAAGGCTGGTATTCTTACCGATAAGGTTAACAATGTTATTTCGACAACATTGCAATTTTTGATAATGAGGATAACATTAGCAATAAAAAATAATAATATTTACTTTTGAATCCCAACCAACGCGCTAGGTGTAATCAAGTACTGCGTGTAAGTACCAAACTACAATTGATGTCGTGCACTGTTTAGTCTAGTAATACTTTAAAATCCTGGCTACCTGCTCTAATAGCATTTGTGTCGCTTTGTATGTAATTCTAATACTCTCAGATGTTGTTTATGTTCACTGAGATTATCGTTGCCGTGAAATTGTCCAGCTAAATGTTAAGGTGTTCGAAGAGTTTGTAACAAAACCTCTAGGATGAATCTTGTTAGATACAACTTACCCTGATCGTCTGCTGATACTTCTTCACATTCTTCTCCAGTTCGGCCTTGGCGCGGTTAGCCTGGTCCACGGCCACCTCCAGGTCGTTAATGTCTTGCTCCAGTTTCTTCTTGATTCGCAGAGCCTCAGCTTTGCCTTTGGCTTCTGTCTCCAGACTGGCTTGCATGGACTCCAAGGCACGCTGGTGGTTGCGACTGCAAAGAATAAGTTATATCCATTCCTTAAGTCCTACAACGAATCTTTGAATCCATCAAAGATGCAAACAGCGGGGAATGGAGAGTGAGAAGCAACAAACAAATTCATAATCAATCTGGTGTACCCATTTAAGGCTGGCTTCGGGGGGGGGGGGGGGGGGGGGGGATACGATTTAATGGGGATTTGAACCCGCGACTGTGGGATCCGCAGGCCTGGGCTTTCGGTGCTCGCCTTTAATGTTTGTTCTGATCGATTTATAGACACATAGTTAGTGTAAAATTGGTCTTTTTCTTAACTTATAACACCCCCCCCCCCCCCTTACCGCCGCTCCGAACATGATCTGAACTCCTAGTTCCCATTTAGGAGCGGACACGTGGATTAAAGACCAACTATCCTTCAACAAGCATTTTGTCAAAAGGAGAGTAATTTGGAGTTTACCGAAATTGGATGTGTTGGGCTGAAAGGAACAGATTTTGCCGCCTATCTGTAAACCACAACACAAAATGCAAACTACCCTTCTAAGTGCTAAAACATTAGAACAACAAAAATTATCATAGTAATAAAAATGATTATGATTTTATAATGTAATCTACTTGCTTACCGAGTGTTCTCGAACTCCTCCTCCTTATCTTGGATGCGGCGGTCAATCTCTGCTCTTACAGAAGCAATCTCAAGCTGAGCCCTTGCAACTTTAGCCTCCTCCTGCTCCAAGGCAGATTCGGCCTCTTCCAGTGCTGCTTGCAGTTCTTCCTTCTCCAACTCCAGACGTCTGCGGGCTTTGTCTAACTCGTGAGTGCTTCGGCCACCCTCGCCCAGTTGGTCTGTGAGATCATGGATCTCATCTGTGGAAAAAAGTGTATGTTACATTATGTTATCACAATCGATATCAATGTATATTGGGCATTCCGATGCGTGCTGTCTCCCAGTGCAGCAGCCATTCCAAGGTACCTATGCTAACTGTTCCCATGAGGAGTTGGTTATGTGTCCTGTGTTGGCCTCGAGGAGTCAAAGACGTTCTTCACTATGCTTTACTCCTAGTTCACATAATCGTGTTAGAGTTTTAAAAAAATTCAACATTATCCATCAGTCAACTTCTGACGTCGTTGACTACAGCTGCTCTGTCCATACTTTGGTGCATACTTGTCAGTTGGTTCACTTATTTTGTATATCATCTGGATAAAAGTTCATCGGATTGTAATTTGACAATAGTACCAGTTCTTATCCATGTGAAATGATTCAGAACGTTGCGGCAGTTCATGACAAATTTACATGCATCGTATTTGCAGTTGCACCTAGAAAATGTTGTACACAGAATGAGTCAGAAGTGTGGCTATATATTAAATGGCAAGTTAAATGCCATGTCACTCATCCCAGAGACCTCAGCTCTAACTTTCGTTCAGGGGACTGAGATATTTTTCTTTTAGTACAAAAATAAAATGTCCAATCCTGCACAGTTCGTGATTACTACACTAGCCATGCGGCCTTACATCTTAGGCCCTAACTTCACGACCACTGGTAGAAGAGGCAGAGGCAGACCGAGAGAAATGATGGACATGGAGTAATATTCAGAGGAATCATCAGTGAAATTGACCCAGAACACCAAAGACCGAGATCTGTGGAAATGCACGAACGCCTACGCCAGCTGGCAAGGTACTTGATGATGATGATGATGACGACGATGATGATGATGATGATGATGATGATGATGATGATGTTGATGATGAATGACCTATACATCATAGACAATGTTTTATATTCAGCTCACCAGCCAAGTTCTTGTTCTCGCGACGAAGAGCCTCGGCAGTGTCGTGAGCTTCTTCCAGTTGGGCTTTGACTCGGAACAGTTCAGCAGAATATCCTCTGGCCTCTTTCTGGGCGTTCTCCAGCTCGGCCTGCAGGTCGTTGTATTTGCTCTGCCATTCTGCAACTGTTTTATCGAAAGCGCGCTGTTTCTTCTCAAGGTTGTTTGCGTTGGCATTGGCCTAAAAATGAAAAGTTTTTAAACTGTAAGGTAACACCGGTGTCAGTTATGTTAATTATCAATAGATTCAGCAAGGGAGGGGGGGGGGGTGGAAGAGAAACTCGGCTTAAACTGCAATTCTTAAAGGATAATTTCAACTTAACCCCCTCCCAAGCTTAGTCCCACGAACATGAGCTCCAAAGCCCGTGCAAATAGGAATAACTGCACAAGTAGGGAAAATAAGTGTTGAGTGAGCTGATTCTTTTCTGAAACAACGTATGAGCTCCCGTTTTCGTCTGGAGGTGATACTGATAGCTACGACAAACTGCTCGTAGAGGCCTGGACAAAACAAGCAATTGGAAAGCTGACTAAAACTGCGAAGTTGTTGTATAAATGAATATACGTTTTTTGGATATAAAAACAACGAAATATGAAGTCTGGGGAGATTACGAAGAAAAAAAATGTGATCCAGTTATAAAAATTACAAATGAGGTAAGAGCTAAAGGCGGGGGAGTAAGGTAGACAACGATACAAGTGGGACAATAGAGTCAAAATATGAACAAATATTCCAATGAGAGATACTTACGCGTTCAACATCAATGACCAAGTCCTCCAGCTCTGCCTGCAGTCTGCTCTTGGCCTTCTCCAGAGCTTGCACTTTCAGGTTGGCAGCTTCCGCGGCTTGTTCGGCATCAGCAAGTTTAGCTTGCAGCTTACGTCTGTCCAACATTAACAACAAAATGTCTGATATTTTATCCTATATAATCTATAACTATCTATAACTCTGTTAGTAAACCAACAGATTATCCTCCGTGCGCATCGAACTATTCAGTCTATAATTGCTTGGACCCATTTCTCAGTCAATCCTGCAGTTATTTTTTGGTTCCTTATTCTTCTTTGGCTACCTGCATAGTGTTCTTGTCTGACCACACACCTTGTAACTTGCTGTTCTTGCAGTCTGATTCACAGTCTTTTGGTTCCCACGGACGTCCACCTTCTCTTAAAGCATACCGTATATCAGCCTGGTCCATGGCTCGTACGCCCTTCACAGCAGCATTACTAACTTGCTTGTTTTCTTCGACGCCTGCGCGCCCTGGAACGACAATGGCAGTGATCAGTGTGAGGCCAGACCGCCTCAGACTCCAAGCATTTTCTTTAGACCCAGCCCATCTCTATCTTCATGAGCATGCTTATTGAGTCTACAACTTAACCACTGTGCTTTCCACTTAGGGGCCGCCTTGATGTAACTACTAGATGCTCGCCTAAGGATCGGAAGGTTGTGGGTTCGGATTCTGGCGGAACTCAACTTTTTTTTTTCAAAAAAACCTTCTCTACCAGGTGGACAGCTTTGAATGGGTATCAGGTAAAAGTCCTGGAAAGTTAAGGCGACAGGCGTGATGCTGACCACATGACCCACCAAGTGCCGATTGCTCTATAAAATATTGGTCTAGCCGTATATGCTCAATACACCGGAGGCGGGGAAAAGGGTCCTTTTACACTCCACTGGCATGCCGGGGGTTCCATTCTAAAACTAATTAGTACAATGTTGTTATTGCTGTTGTTGCAGCTGCTGTTCTTGTTGCTGTTGTTGCAGTTGCTGTTGTTGTTGCTGATGTTGTTTACCATGTTGCTCTGCAGCTTTAGATGCTAACTGTCTTTCACCGTCAATGCCACGTTAAAAGAAAACGTTAATCAGATACTGAAGCACAGAATATACATTTACAGAAAACTGTGAGTCTTTTAAGACGAACTGTTACGATACATTATTGTAACGTCAGTTTGGTTTTGTTTAATTTCAATAACTAGTATCATATCACTCGGCACATCCCTATAGCGCTCTATACCCATCTTCAGCAACCAACAAAGAGTTCCAGCTCCGATGGTGTCAAAGCAGTCTGACTGACTGTCCGTCTTCCCTTTCCTCTGAGTGTACAGTATCGGCCAGATCCTTCTTGTCACTCTACGTTGCACTATTCTTTACAGATCGTGATAATCTAATTGGGCCTCTGCACTAATCACTCACACAGGGGGGAAACTAAATGGTCTCGAGGTTTGCCATCCACCTCGAGTACTTGAGGTCCCGGGTTCAACCCCTGTGGAGGCCGGGATGTTTTCATGTAGACTTCTAGTAATTTCCTCTGGTCTCTGGGTAGTAAGACCAGGCGCTCGTGTGTATTGCTGCGCACGTAAAAAATGCCTTGGCAGTTGAAAATTGAAAAAGAGTAGCCTAACGGCGCTGCATGGGCAACATTTGGAATTCAAAATCAACCCAAAGTGTTTCAGGATCCTCGCCTGTGCAACAGAGTTCATGCACTGCATTGAGATTCTTCAGACTCAGGCTTGAGTTAGAAGTAGAACGGAGCACTTATGGGTTTCAGCCGTGCGCCAGGATGGTAATCAACACAAACATACAAACTCACTCCCAAAGCGCCTTGACAACATCTAGCTTGTCATGTATAAGTTTACCAACCACTGAGTGAAGCGGAACCAGCTAGCCTGTTGGCAAACATCCTACAGTGGATGAGGACAAGGTGCTAGCATTGAATAGGAGGCAGACCGGGGAAGAAACCCTGATAACAAAATAGTTACCTAGACTCCTCCAGCTCTTCAGCTTTGGAAGATCCCTCAGTCTCAAATTTAGAGCGCCAGAGTTGGACCTCACTGGTGGCTTTGCTGAGCTGCCTAAGGGCCTCAGATCTGCCTTCCTGTTCCTCCTCGAGCTGTTCTCTGAGAGCACTAACATCTGACTGTAGAGCACGGGCGTCAGAAGCCAGTTTCTGGCGGGCCTGTTGCAAATATAGAAGTTACAGTAAAGGATCTTTCCCAACGTCTTCATGCTCATCAAGCAGTATATTTAACAGTATACTTAACAGTATATTTAACAGTATACTTAACAGTATATTTAACAGTATACTTAACAGTATATTTAACAGTATATTTAACAGTATATTTAACAGTATACTTAACAGTATACTTAACAGTATATTTAACAGTATATTTAACAGTATACTTAACAGTATATTGCAGGTCGGTCCAGCCTAAAATGGGTACCAGAATGGGCTGTCCTGGGAAAGTAAAGACAGCCGGCGTAATGCTGACCACATTACACACCGAGTGCTGATGGTCTGTAAAAATAAATATGGGCGTTCTTCCCATATGCCCGATACGCCTAAAAGGCGTAGAAAGGGATCTTTACTTTACTTACTTACTTTACTAACAGTATATTTGACAGTATATTTAACAGTATTTTTCTATATATTTCAAGAGCGCCCGTTTTGGATCGACAGCCCCATTTTAGGAGACAAAAATGAAAGAAAGACAGACAGACAGACAGACAGACAGACAGACAGACAGACAGACAGACAGACAGACAGACAGACAGACAGACAGACAGACAGACAGACAGACAGACAGACAGACAGACAGACAGACAGAAATAGACCTAGCAAACATGTCGCACAAGGCGACTACTTAGGGATTTACTGACATTGGGTGTATTGCGCCCAAATGTGCAGATATTTCCGCCTAACAGTTAACCACAAAACAATGTGTCAACAGCTAATTAAAGGACGTAGGCTTAAAAAAAAACTTTTAAACTGAAGAAATGTGTGTTCTCTTTAGATACATATTACTTACGCGGGTCTCATCCTCCAGAGCTCTCTTGGCCTCCTCAAGCTGAGTGATGAGGGCGTTCTTCTCTTTGGTCAGAGATCCTACGCGATGCTCAGCCTCCTCCAGTTGTCTGGTGAGGTCAGCATTCTCCTGGGCAGCTCGGTTTTTCTGGGAATTCAGCTCTTGGATCTGGCGGCTGGCGGCGTCCAATTTGGCGTTCAGTTCGGCGATCTGAGCCTCGACTTGTTTGGACATCTTATCAGACATACCCTGGAGGAAGGAATAGCAATGAACAATGATTATCAACAAGCAGCAGATCCTTTACAGAACCTCGCTCTCGTGAGAGCACAACTACAAGTCTCTCATTGTCTGGCCACTTCTCCACTCCTATGTGCCTTCATAGGCAATGCTTCTTCAATTTCTCATATCCACTTTCGCGGAAATCTGCCTCGTTTTCCTGGAAACTGTACATTAGTTTTCTCTCCAGACCCCTATGACGTTTAATGTGGCCAATATACATCAGCTGTCAGAACCGATGCTATTTATGAGACAATTATTAGTGGTATCGGAATCAGAATTAAGTGTCCCTTACTCACTCAAGGATCTTTGTTATATACAGACACAACAAACTTGGAGAAAGACTCCAATCAGTGAAGATTAATTGTTAACACTAATGGGTCTTCTGGGTATCATCCGGTTGCACTGGGTTGCTTGATTCTCCATATAGCTGGTTCTTAATAGCATTTCGTTTACAATAAGGGTTGTGCAGTTCATTTGTTAAATCTATGCTGTGTATTTCTGGTCAACCTCTTTTTATCATCCTCAAGCTGGTTTTTTTGGGTGCTTGCCTGCATATCTGGCTGATCAGGTCAAACGATCAAACTAAACTTCTTCTCGTCCTTTTTAGGACAGAATTGTTCTTTATTTGAAGCCCTGCTCTGGCTTTTGCCAGGGGCCGCAATATAGTCTGGCCATAAATATGGCCTAAGGGCTGAACGCGGTTTCTGGGACCTCTAAACGGTGATCCTCACCCGCATGGTGGCACATTGTGTCATCGGGTGTTTATCGCTTGTGGGATGTCCTGGTTGGGTAGAAAGTCAGTCAGTCAGTCAAACGATCAAACTTGACTGCCTGTTTTTACCGTTCCGAAGATCATTGTTGAAATTGTTCTCTAGTTATAAAGGATTCACTTATTTGCTTCATTGATGTAATTGTTACTGCAGTATGCACCTGACGAGATACAGCGAAATATGCCAGGCAATAAATTGTGCAATATATTGTTTGTGTCTTCTTTGTTCCAATTTACAACGGGAAACACTGCTTTGAATACTAATTTATTGATTATCTTCTGATATCGTGGAATGGAAGTTCATCTGGATCAAAACTGATTGAAAGTACACGAGATAGAAGGTTATGGATAGGATAGACATGACTACCAACACAAGGCATGGAATATAGAAATAAACTGCTATTGGTGCCAGTGCGGAGCTCAGAATTCTTACCCGGTTCTTGCTGGCGTGTTCAAACTGGGACTGCAATTCCTCAAACTCTGCCTTCAGTTGACTCTTCTCTTTCTCAAGTCTGTAAAGAGCAATAACAAAATTAAACCGTTATTTATCTAAATTTATTGCGTTTTTCAATCATTTATTTAAGCATTATAATTTTACATTTTAAGGTTGTTTAGTTTTTAATTCGTGGGGGCACACACACACACACACACACACACACACACACACACACATCACCATCATCATTATTGTCTGTTGCACCATTATACTCACAAATGGCTTGCAGTCTATTTCTCTACTACTTTCCCTCCTGTGCAATCAGATCAATATTATGGACAGAATGCAGACCAGAACCTTTCTCTTCTCTCACCAACATTATTTTTTAGATTTTCGCTTTTTCAATCCCTTCAGTCCCCATTGAAATTTAGTGATTATCTGCTCGTTTCGTGTCAGGGTGTGTTGAATATGGCACCGTCTTATTTGAAAGTATTACGTAACGATAAAAACCTCACTGACAAACTTTAGTTTGTTAGGGGAAATAAATGGGGAAAAGTTGTTATTTTGCACTATTTAAGTGATGAGAAAGCTGTGGTGTAGACAAACCTGTGGCGCGCTAGTTTAGACTAGTAAACAAACAAGGCTGAAGGGAGCAGTGAGACAGGTAGGTCATTCAGCTTGGAGAAAAAATTTTTAATTAAACTTAAACAAAATCACGAGCAAGACCAAAAACAGCTAGGGAAGAGTTTGTTGAAGGCTTGTGTATCTTTAGTGGCAACAACAAATAACCTACTTGGTCTTGATCTTCTGCAACTGATCGACTTGATCAGCCAGCTCATTGGTAGCATCCTGGTTCTTCTTTCGCAGAGAGGAGATCTGGGCTTCATGTTGTAGGGCCGACTCCTCCAGGTCACGGCGCAGTTTTTGCAGCTCCTGCTCTCGCTTCTTGTTCAGCTCGATCTGGGCAGCGGTGGCACCTCCAGCCTCGTCCAGACGCTCTCCCAGATGTTCTAATTCTCGAGCAAGCTCGCTTCTTTGTTTCTCAACCTGTTCATGACATAAAGTCAGTCACGAGTAAGAAACTGTTAGTTCGATGGTCCATGCAGTTTTATATATATATATAATATATATATATAGTTGCGTTTCCTTTACAGGACGTTGCAGAACCAACCCCAGCAGCCCCTGGCTGTTGTGTGGTTTCTCTAGGCAAATTTACGTCCAGTAGTTTGCCATTGCTTTCTGGACGGTGGGCCCCCTGATACCACTGTCGAAACCAACGCAATGCGCATGGCCCGCAACTGGGATCGAACCCGGCACCCCGGCATTACGAAGCGTTCGCATCGACTTAACCACAGAGCCGACACACACACACACACACACACACACACACACATATATATATATAATGTGTGTGTAATATGTATGCGTTTTGTGTGTATTGATATCTGTATATCTCTATAAGAACGTATCAATCAATCTGTCTTCTTCAAAGCACCGCTTTTCACGGGACATATGCGGCTAGATCTATATTTTATAGAACAATGGGCACTTGGTGGGTTAAGTGGTCGACATCACGCCGACCGCTTTTACTTTCCAGGTTTTTACCTGGCATCCATTTATGGCTGGGACGAGCTGAAAGCCAATGTCATTTCTGGAAAACGTGCGGATTCGTCTGGGCCTGAACCCTGGACCGTTGGGTCGGCAGGTGAGCATCCAGCTGCTACACCACAACGGCTTTGTCTGTTTCTCTGTGTGTTTGTGTGTGTGTGTGCGCGTGCGCGAATATGTCTTTGAGTCTGTCTATTTATCTGTGCCAATCGATTTATATGTCTGTCTATCTATAAAGCTATTTACCTATCCAGTGTAAACATAATTTTAAAAACTAACGAGAAGGGGAAGCAGAAAAAGAAAAAAAAACAGTTGAAAATTATGCGGGAAGTGGTCAGGTCGTCATAATCGCTGTGGTGGTAATAGACGAACAGAAGGTGGTGATGTTAGAGATTATGATGCTGATTCTTCTTTTTCTTCTGCTTCTTCTGTTCTTGTGATGGCTGTCTGGTTGACAGCGACGGAGAGTTCTTGTGATAAACTTGACTGGTCCTTTTTAATTTTTTTTAATTCTTCTTCAGTTACAAACAACTTGGGGCACAATTTTGACTCAGTGGGCAAGTATTGCATCTTAATGGGCTGTACAGGGGACATTCTTGCAGGACATGTTCTGTTGTCTGCACACACACACACACACACACACACACACACACACACACACACAGCCTACAGGGGTACACTGGTGAACTACTTACACGAAACCTGAACATATGCTTAAGTCTGTCATTTCCTGTCCTCAGATATAAAATAATGACCTGCCCGTGTCGGTCAAGTAAGTGGTGGTCATCTCTGACCAGATTCTGCTCACTTCTGATTGATCTGAATGACCCTTTTCTTCTCAAAGTATGTTACTGTAATGCTGGTGATCCATCATCATCAGTTTCCACTTCTGTCGTTAAGCATTGTGGGTAGGAACAGTTTGCGATCCATTTCTTCATGGATCTTTCCATGTGTAGCGCTTGCATTGGTAGTTGTTCTGGCTGCACTTACTAAATGACTAAACAGTTTGATTTTCTGTTGTTCCTACAGTCTGTCTGATAATATCGTTTCTAACTTTGTCTCGCGTGGTTAAGCGGCTTTTCTGAGGCATTTCATTTCACAGATGTTTATTTTACTTAGGTTAGCCTTTGATAATGTCCAAGTCTGGCACTGAAAGCACAGTGTTGGTATGAATATGGTGTTTCTAATCTGTTTCTTGGCGCTCATACTTATGTTTTGATGTCCTAATAACGGTGTCGGTTGATATATAAGAGCATTTGCTCGTTGGCATCTTGTTTCTACTTCCCGATCTATGTTTCCGTCCTCCGACCTAGATATTACCTCCTAGATATTCAAATTGTTTAATTTGCTTCAGACAAGTACCATTCAACCCGATATACAGCATACTAGGAATTCTGCTGGCCTTCATTACTTCAGTTTTAGTACTGTTTATTTTCATGTTATATCTTCTGCATGTTGAACTTAGTCTGTTTAAATGTTTTTACAGCCCGGCTCTCTAGCGAAGTTGGTTAAACCTGACTTTCGCGGCGGCCGGGTGACGAACTCCTTGTGGTCCGGGTTCACTCCCGGGGGTAGGCAGAAAAGCCACATTTCTCCCAGATTAACGGTACTTATAATGGAATCAAGGCCGAAGGGTTGCGATATCCATAGTACCGAGCCTAAGGGTTTACAACTCATGGTTTCTGGATACGTTAAAAAAAAAAAAATGTTTTTACAATCTACTGTCCTCATTGTAGAACAGGCACTGATCATCTGCAAATAGTAACTGACTCATTGTGTGTAGATCTAATTCTTCCTATGGAAAGTAAAGTTCCTAATTTTCTGGATTTTCTGGGGCGACTGCTTTAAAACTGGCTCCTTCTGATATTCGGTCTATGGATATAGTCAATAAGAGAGGAGAGCGCACACATCCCTGCCTCACCGCTGTTTTGATTGAAAACATGTTAGAGATGCCTTCTTGTGTTCTCACTGTTCTCTGGGAAGTGTTGTACATGGCCATGATGTTATCTTGCAACTGTCCTTGTATCCCATAATCCTCAAGAATAGCCCATCGTTTGTTTTTTATCTACTCTATCAAAAGCTTTTTCTTGGTCTACAAACACAATATTCAGTTTATCATCATATTCAGTGGTTTTCTCGCAAACTTGTCTCGGTGTGAATCATACATCTATGCACCGTTTTCATTTCCTGCAACCAAATTGTGATGAACCTAGGTTGTTGTTCCGCTTTGAGATCTAATGCTGGTGATAATTTTTTTTTTAAAAAATAGATGAAACAATACAATTGGCCTTACCTTAGCTCTGGCCTGTCGCTCTGCTTCAAGCTCCTCCTCCAGCTCCTCAATACGGGCCTGCAAAGCATAGGTTGCCATGGTTACTTGATCAATCAATTAAACAGCAAAGCAATAATATCGCAACACTATTGGCTAACAAAATCACTGATGCGGATTCTCGAATTCCAGACAAACAGGTGTCTTAATGTCCTGCTGTCTCTTGTGCAAACTATAAGTTGTTCTCTTGGAATATATTTTGCCTTGGATTTGCTTGAAACACAACATGCACGCAAAACGCGGCGAAAGGGAAAATGTAAATGGCGAGAAACAATTATTAAAACAGTTATTATCCAACGTTGGATTATAGTTTTGTAATGAAGAAGAAAATCGCGTATGTTTTGGCGTCGAAAATATGGAATGTATGACGTGGTATTATAAACTTGTCGTCTGGTTTAGGACAAAATGGCTAACTCTGTAGGTTGATTTCCTCGCCGGGTTCATGTGTAGAATTATATTTCTCCAGTTGTGTTTCGCGTTTGCAATTATCTTTCAACATGAGAGGCCCGAAGTCGTTTCTGAAGGCAGTTAATTTCTTGCTTCAGGTAAGCAGGGACGAAATAAACGTTGTTTGATGTTCTCCTTCTGGTGCCTTGTGTTGTTACAAGTGTGCTCCGAATAAAGGAAGGCTACTTAAAGAAAGGAGGAACGTCGTCAACACAGGCACAAGTATGCAGCAGCTCGCATGCCAAGCCGGTAGACCGACTGATGCCGCCGTGTGCAAGCGCGAGGGTGAAAAAAAAATGTTTCAGGAACAACACGGGTACTCACGTCTGCTCGCAAACAAAATTCAAAGCCGGCATTTCTCTAAAGTGACTCACTCGGAGTGTAGACTAGCCGCTTTACCTGTCTGAACATTCTAGAACAGGCTGCCACTGCGTGCTGGTGAGGGTGGAGCGTGAGGAAGAGGGTGGAAAGTTCGGTTCCTCGTCTTTACCAAAGGAGGTAATGTGTTTTAGGGGTTTCCGTACAGTTAACTAGTTTCGTTAAAATAATTGTAACCCCTCAAGTATGAGTAATGGAATGGTGAAGGGACAGGAGGTTTGGGCATGTCTTCGATTTCTGAAAAAGTCTTAATGGATAAAGAAGAAACATACCGGTTTTGAGAGCTCAATTTGTTAAGGTATCACTTGTTAAAACCATAAAAAGAAGGTGCTATCACTCGTTAAAACCGCAAGGAGAAGAAATATAAAATTGCATGACTTTTGGGAACGTACGAACATAAAAGCAGATAAAAAACAGACAAAGGTGTATGAGAAAAGTTTATAAGAAACAAAATATAAGCATAAGGAATATCGAATGGCAGAGAGGAGTTATTGTCACCCATGTCTGCGTCAGACTGCACAGAAGATCTTAAAGGTCGTTTACTGTAAACTGTAATATCCTAGCTTTTCTTTTTATTTTTACTAATTATTATTATTACTATCAAAGGTCTGAAAGGTATTTTACCGTAAGATGTAATGTCCTAGCATTATTATTATCATTATTATTATTATGTGATATAGCACAGCCCGGCGCGATGTTGACAATATCGCCCACGAAGTGCTGATTGATCTATAAAATATAGGTCCAGTCTTGTTGTGCCCAACATGCCTAAAGCCGTAGCAAAGGGTCCTTTACTTTATAATGCAGTGACACGGTTCGTTGTCTGACACGATCACGCAATCTCGGATCAGATCCGTGTTCTTGTCTTCAGTATGCTGTGCAGCCAAACCATCCTCGTATTATATATACATGTTTTTTTTTTTTCGACGGATCAACATCATGGCACACGGGTGTAACCCTTAAGTGCTCCGTTCTACTTCTAACTCAAGAATGAGCCTGAAGAATCTCAATGCAGTGCACGAAATCCCTTGTACCGGCGAGGATCCTGAAATACTTTGGGTAGATTTTCAACTCCAAATGTTGCCCGGGAAACGCCGTTAGGCTACTCTTTTCGATTTTCAACTGCCAAGGGATTTTTTTTTTTTTTTAATAGAATAAACACAGGCGTCCGATCCTATTACCCAGAGGTTAGTTGCGTATCCTTTACATGACGTTGCAGAACCAATCCCAACAGACCCTGGCTGTTGTGTGGTTTCTCTAGGCAAATTTACGTCCAGTTGTTTGTCATTTCTTTCTCGGCCCCCTGAGACCACAGTCGAAATCAATGCAAGACGCGTGGCCCGCAGCTGGGATCGAACCTGGCACCCTGGCATTACGAAGCGTTCGCATCGACTTAGGCATATAGCCAACATTATCCAGAGACCCTCATTACACAGCATTTGTAAAAGTTCTACATATTGCCAAATTTAAAAAAGTAACCAAAACAAAAGTCGGGAGATGTGAACTAGCGTGGGCTGCAGCGAGTCGCAGCTGGATTTGAAAGCGAGTCTCCTATCGACTGCGCTAACGCAGCATATATCTCAGTGGCCAGGCGTGCATGTAATGGCTGTAACTGTCGCTTGCACTTTCTAGTGCCAAAGAAAAATGCATTATTTCAATATTTACTATTACTGCCGACAATTTATTACAAACAAGCCACCCGGTTTACGTGTCAAATATAACGAAAGAACGTTCGCTGTATGCCTACGCCCCACATGGAGAAATTGTAACCTGTTAAAGCTACCATTTACTAGCACTACAGGGCTAGCTGCGCACGCATATTCTGAGTAGCGACATGACGAGGATGAACATATCAACGTGATACCCTCTGCAAGCTGATCACGCTTCGCCACTGATACATGTACATAATGGATGTGTTGTATATTCCCTGTGTATGTCAATATTCTCTGTGTGTATATATTTCCTCTGTATCCATATTTCCCCAGTGTGTGTCTATATTCCCTCTGTGCGTCCATATTCCCCCTCTATGTGTCTATATTCCCTGTGTATGTCTGTATTATCCTGTGTGTGTCTACATTCCCCTTATGGAATAAGTGCATATTCCTCCTATGTGTGTTTATATTTCCCCCGGTGTGTGTCTATAATTCCCCCTGTGTGAGTGTGTGTGTGTGTTATGTGTATGTGTGTCTCCCCCCCCCTCTCAAACCACACCCCTCCCCTGCCCCACGTCTATGTCCATGTTGCCACTGTGAGGTGCTGAATGTTAACACTGCGCCTGTGTGCTCCTTTCTCTATCAGCTCCAGCGATAAGGAACTACTACATCTAGGTCGAGTATATGTGTTGCCTACTAAGTGTTTTAGAGCCTCAATAACCCAGTGGCTAGCTTCTTCACCTGTCGCCACGGTTGCTATGTGTTTCAATCTTTATCGAAGTGGAGATCTGTATTATTTGTAATTATTCTGAGCTGCTCATTACTACCACAAAGAATTAAACATACAATTTGAAATGGATATGTAATGGATACGTAATGGATATGTAATACCAGAATCACTTCAGTCTTTGATTTATTCTGACATAACATGTCACATAGCGCTTTCGGTCTATTCCTCCATTCAGTACTCTCCTGTGAAATTACTTCTGATGAAATTCTGTCCAGCACCTTTGGCTTCTCTCATCCACGTTCGCCTTAGGGTTTCTGAGTCTTGTCAACATCGCGATAGCAACTAAGGACCTTATAGCAGAATAGTAGCGATAACAAATACTAAAACAATACAAAGAAGTGGTACTGCAGTATCACCTTGAATAGCTAAGGAGACAGCCCAATCAATGGCGGTTACATCAACAACGTATGGCACAATAATGAACCCATTACATAATCAGACCCAAGCCTGCACAATGAGACGGACACGACCTGACCGGACAGATAGACACGGAAGACATCAAACAAAGCACCAAACACTACGCAATGAAATAGCAACACAATGTATTGCCATAATTATAACCGATATTGACTAGGACGAGGCTAGCTTGAACGTGGCTAACTGAAATCGTACGGTTAGTTGCGTATCCTTTACAGGACGTTGCAGAAGCAACCCCAACAGTTGGCTGTTGTGTGGTTTTTCTAGGCAAATTTACATCCAGTAGTTTGCCATTGCTATCTGGACGGTCGGTTTTCTTGATACCACTGTCGAAACCAACGCAAGGCGTATGGCCCGCAGCTGGCATCGAACCCGGTACCCCTGCATTACGAAGCGTTCTCATCGACTTAGCCACAGAGCCGACGAAATCTTACGAACAAACATTATTATTAATCGTTTTTGAGGTTCTGAATGGCAAATGAATATAATAATATACTTAAAGAAATATGAGGGGTACATGCCTGGGAAGACAGGAAGAGGAAGGCTAAAGAGAAGATGGGTGCAGGATGTGGCTGATGATCTCCACATGGGTGTACTGGACGCCGGACATCTTGCTTGTGATCGAGAGGTTTTCCGGAAAGTTGTTATGGGAGCAGGGTTCTGCAAAGAACATGCTACTGACTGACTGACTGAATATGAAATGTATAAAGAAAGAGTATTTCTTTACATGGTTCCAAGAGTTCCTCTCCCCCCTCCCCTTTTTTTTTGAACAAAATTAATTTGTGAAGAGTCGGAGATAGGGCGGCGGTTCTTCTCAGCACCAAGAATAAAATGTGGGGCTCAAGAGACCTGAGGTCGTTGCTTGAGCTACGGGGTCAATGCTAGAGCTACGGAGTTTCGCGCTTTATGCAGTGCTCTCAACAGACGATCGGTTAATCTTCTGAGATAGAGCTGGAGCAAAGCAGTTCGAACATTTTGCCTTTAAACACCTTTAAACTTAAATGAGTATCTTAACGGATGAAATATAAGAAGTTTTGTGTGTGTGTGGTTTTTTTTTTTTTTTTTTTTTTAATGATGGGAAAAAAAATAAAAAAAATGGCTTCATTCTGTAAGAAACTTTGCAAGAGATTCAGCTTTTGGTAGCACAAGAGGTAAAATATATTTTGTCGTCACATTCGTCACAAAGGTGGGCATTAACGATGAAAGAAGAAGAAATCGGAACAACAGAAATGAAATGATTACGAGAAATTTCAAATGTAACTAGGAGAGACAGAATTCTAAATTAGGATATAAAAATAAGAAGCTGGGAAGGAGCCAGTGCTAAACTATATCAGGAG